CTCCCCCAGCGGCTTTACATAAATATTGAACAAAAGGGGAGAGAGGACCGACCCCTGAGGGACCCCACAAGTTAGGGGTCTAGGAGTTGACCTCTGTCCCCCTGCCAATACAGACTGCGTACGGTCGGTGAGGAAGGAGGAGAACCACCGCATAACGGTGCCTCTGACTCCCAACTCACCGAGACGCCGCAGCATGATACCGTGGTCTACGGTATCAAAAGCCGCTGAGAGGTCCAAAAGAACAAGGACAGAGGAGTACCCTCTGTCCCGGGCCCTCCAGAGATCATTGACCAACGCGACCAATGCCGTTTCCGTGCTGTGCCCCGGCCTGAAACCCGACTGGTATGGGTCTAGATATTCAAGGCCTTTTTTTTCCTTGACTCACTCTTTATGACATTTTCCCCATTGCAGGAATGTTTGGGAAGCAAAGCCTTTTTTTGTTCTAAATATTTCTATAGAAAGCAATATCATTTGATAGGGTTTTGATCTAGAATTGCTGGTACTTATTAAAATGAAGTCATGTATTACCCAGATAGATGCTTGTCATAGTAATTAAAGTGCTGAGTTTTAATAGAGGAAAAACAGGTTTAAATGTCCATTGGCCCCAGAGATCATTAGATGTCTTCGCCCTCAACCTACTCACTGTAGGTCCTTAAAGAGCGAAACGGGAAAGAGGGGAAAACACTAAAAACATCCTTAATGCCTTTCACTGGGATTACACTTACACTGGGATTCAAATACAGGTAGTCCTCAACTTATGACCACAATTGGGCCCAAAATTTCTGTTGCTAAGGAAGAGAGTTAAGTGATTCTTGTCCCATTTTATGATCTCTATTGCCCTAGCTCAGGGGTAGGCAACCTTGGCTCTTTTATGACTTGTGGACTTCAACTCCCAGATTTCCTTAAGTCCACAAGTCATAAAAGAGCCAAGGTTGCCTACCCCTGCCCTAGCTATTAAATGAATCACTTCAGTTGTGAAGTTAGTAACACGGTTGTGAATCTGGCTTCCCCATTAACTTTGCTTGTCAGAAGGTTGCAAAAGGTGATCACATGACCATGGGACACTGCAACCGTCATAATTGCATGCCAGGAGCTAACATCTGAATTATGATCACATGAACATATGGATGCTACAATGGTCATAAGTCATTTTTTTGAGTGCCATTGTAACTTTGAATAGTAACTGGTTGAGGACCACCTGTATACATTTTTGGCTCATTTTCATGTCATTGCTATTTCTGTTAGCCAAATTTGCTGCTGTGGTTATAAAATGAGATGAGGCCTTCATACATGTCAAATTTCCAGCAGCAATTTATAAACAATATATAAATAAACCATGATCACAGATCACTTTATTACTTTTGTCATACAGCAGAAAAACAAACTAGTTAATTATAGATTCATGTGATAAATGTTGATGAACAACTAATCAAGCCAGGATGCTGTTGTATTTTAAGCTTGCATCAAAAATATTCACAAAATTGGGCAGGTAATACATAAATCTACTCAAGAATAGCAGAGTAAAAAATAACCGCTTTTTAAAATCCAAATGATTGTTACCATAATAATTTACACACCATCTTCAAGAAAGAAAAACATAATTTATTTAAAAATGTGCATAATGTTCATCTGTAAAATGCTGAAATGTTATAATAAGCAGTCATGTATGCAGAAAATATAGCTAAACACTGATAGCATAGCTTAAAATTTGAAGCAGTAGTGGTGGCACACTGGTTAGAATGCAGTACCACAAGCTAACTCATTGCTCACGCCAGGAGTTTGATTCTGACCGGCTCAAGGTTGACTCAGGCTTCCATCCTTCTGAGGTTGGTAAAATGAGGATCCAGATTGTTGGGGGACAATATGCTGACTCTGTAAACTGTATATAAATCTAAGTCCTGTTGCTATTGCTACTTCATTAAATAGAATGGTACCAAGTTTCAAAGTTCAAGGTGAAATTTGATTCACACTTTCAGCAACTCTTTATAGGTAGTCCTTGATTTATGGCCAGCACTTAGTGACTGTTTGATGTTCCAATCAACCTGTCTGGAGTGGTACTTACAACCCAGATTTAAAGTTTCAATGGTTATTCCACCCCACCCCCCAGTCACATGACTACATTTTAGGTTATGACAGTGATGGGCAGCCTCTATTATGGTCATGACTCAAGGACTACCGTACTTGTATTCTCCACCTGAAATGAATGATAAAAGCACACACAAAGAAATGGCCTACTAATATTTTTAAAGCACTTTAAGCAATTTGTGTTAAATATTAAGCAGAATTTTGCAACCTTATTGGAAATTTCTGTCTATTCTTGACATGAAATAAACTGTATTATATTCTTCATAGAAGAGTAGATGTTATATTAGTGGGTCCCACTGACTCTGTTCCTTTTACTTTATAGCAGAGGTGGGGAACTATTGCCCCTTTATGACTTCAACTCCCAGAATTCATCAATTCAAAATCATCGATCAGCTTTTTAAATTAGAAGATTATGTTCCACAGAGTATTATAGAAGATGGTATACAGTACATATACCATTTTGGATGAAAATATCTGATCAGTATTGAAAAATATATATACTTCAAGCTTCTAGTAAAGCATAGCATTTTTATGAACATATGGCTTCAGAAATTGATGGTCACTTTTTCCCCTTTTCTGCAGAAATTTGAAGATTATGTCTCCTACTGGTCAAACGTAGGCCATGGTGGCCATGAATACGATGGTGGCTATTACCATCACCATTATGATGAAGATGCTCCTATTGGCCCACGAAATCCAGACACCTTCAGACATGGAGCAAACGTCAATTATGATGATTATTATTAAGATTCTTCTCTGTCTTGACTATTAATATTAATCCTTTCCTCTCTGTATTGACTATATTAACTCTTTCTCCTCTGTGTAAGGACACTAGAAAGTTTTTTTTATTGGTTTTAATCTGATTCTTAATTTTTAGCTAATGGGGTTGAGGGAAAAAAAACCAAAAAATTTGGTCTTGTATATAGTCCTTAACATATCTGCAGTAAAATTAAAGCTTTTTTATACCAAATTTTAATTATGTATTCTGGTAAAATACTTACATTATGAAGACTAACTTTCCTTACTGAGACAAATATGGCCATCTATTTTATATATAATGTACAGCTTACAATGAATAAAAACATAAAAATGAACAACAGTGTCATACAGTAACATCTTATTATCCACCACAGGGCCATGATACCACCATATCAACTCTGCATTTTTCTGGTTCCATTCCCATCCTAGCCCAATCCTGGGGGAAGAGTCAGGGTTTGTGGCCTGAAGGTTCAAGGCTAAAAGGATATTTTCCCTCCAGATCCCAGAAGGTCAAAAATGGAAAGCCATTCCGTCTTGCTAGGGTTGAGTTGCAGTCAGTTCTTCCCCATCCAGAGCCTCCAAGCATTGGGTCAGCACCTGAACATCATTACCTGTCCGGTCGCGGGTGGAGGCATATAATTATCATTTGCATAATAATGAAACTGTACTGCGAACTGACTTCACTCACAGGCTTTATTAGATGTTAAATAGGAGTGATGAGAAAACAAGCCTTGAGGCACCTACGTAAGATAGGCATAGATAATAGACTTCTCTTCCCCAACCTTTTTATAGGGACAGGAAGGAGATACACTGCAAAACAGCAACTCCCATTTCCAATGTCCGAATCCAATCCAGAAGGATACCCTTGTTGATACTAAAAGTTGCCGAGTGATCCAGAAGAGCCAGGATGGATTCAACCCCCCCCATCTCAAGCTTTTCAGAGATCAACAAATGTGATCAATGCCATGTCAGTATTATAAAACTGACTGAAAAGGGTCTAGATAATACACTTCATCCAGGGCTGTCCAATGCTAAACACCCACACTTTCTCAACAATCTTCCCCTAAACACTGCCACCTCCTGAGAAGCCTTAACCAATTTTGGAGGGAGAAGAGCCCAGATACATGACAAGGACCTAGCTACTTCCTCAGCATCAACTGGCTCAAACTCTTCCCAATTAACATAACTAGTCATTTCCATAGGACCTGCCCAGCCAAGTCTACTTCAGCAAAGCCAAGTACCTTTTGACGGGTTCTACAGGGGTTCTCCTGACCATTCCTTACCTAGAAGAGGTCTGGTGGCCTAGAATAAAGCTGTGGTTGTCTGTATGCAGATACAGTAAGAGCAAAGAAGTGAGCTCATTTTGTCCTAATAAAGTATGTCCTAATAAAGACTCCTTCCTGTGCCTGTTGGCTTGTATTCGTCCGGTAGTGTTCTCATGCCACTACATCTCCTGAAGACCTTTGGCAAACTATAAGGATCTAGAGTAGCCACAATCACAGAGACTGAGACTGCACAATCACAGAGCAGTGATTCAATCTTGTTAAATGTGCATTTCAGTCTGCAACTAAGGCCCTGGTTGAACCATGTACCAACCTCATCTTTGTCCTTAAAAGAAAAAATATAGTCCAGTTTCCTTTTGGAGAAAAACAAAACAAAACAAAAAAAAAGCCCGCACCTTTGAGACAATCATGACCTGGATGACTGAGAATCTTCATAGTCACAGACTCAGGAATAACCTCAACCCATCAGTTTCCTGAGGCCACCCAATTTAATAGGTCCCTCCTCCCTGCAGTGGGAGCAGCTCATAGAGAAGTTCAGGGTGAGGAAGGAATGCTCTGTCCATGGTAAAGAAGTGATGATAACATTCCTCAACCTCAGATTATGTTGCCACCACCTCAAGACAAATGCCAGATCTAATGGATAACCTCCTCTGTGAACTATCACTTTTGCTCCTTTAAAAACACTGAACTGTTTTCTCAGGTCACCAAAAGAGTTTTCTCCCTTGCTTTACATTAAGGGATGTTGTAAAAGCTTGGAGATAACAGGCACTTCTCTCTCGGCACTGTTGTGATAGTCACTGTGTACTGTTATTGGAACTTTCCTTCAAGACAACAGAAGTTGGCTGGCCATCTACACTCCTAAACATCTCAAATTTTGAGTGTTAAAACATGAAAAACTTGTAATAGGATTAAGACATTCCAAAATTTCCCTTTTAAAGAAAACGGGATGCCATAGTTTCTGTAGGAATGTGAAATTCAATTACGTCAATATTAACAATAGTTAAAACTCTTGTGGAAGAGGCCCTGATTCTGCGTTATTTGTCAAAAGTGGGCTAATACTGGAAATAGCAATAAACGTTGGGCGCTATCTAACAAAATGAAATTCAGTGGTGAAAAAAGTAAGGTTCTACATTTAGACAAGAAAAACCAAATGCACAAGTACAGTATAGGTGGTACCTTGCTCAGTAGTAGTAACTGTGAGAGGGATCTCAGAGTCCTAGTGGACAATCACTTAAATATGAGTCAGCAGTATGCTGCAGTTGCCAAAAAAGCCAACATTGTGCTAGGCTGCATTAACAGAGGGGTAGAATCAAGATCATGTGAAGTGTTAATACCACTTTATAATGCCTTGATAAGGCCATGCTTGGAATACTGTACTACATTCAGTTTTGGTCACCACGATGTAAAAAAGATGTTGAGACTCTAGAAAGAGAAGAACAACAAAGATGATCAGGGAACTGGAGGCTAAAACATATAAGGAACGGTTGCTGGAATTGGGTATGTCTAGTTTAATGAAGAGAAGGATTAGGGGTGACATGATAGCAGTGTTCCAATATCTCAGGGGCTGCCCCAAAGAAGAGGGGGTCAAGCTATTCTCCAAAGCACCTGAAGGCAGGACAAGAAGCAACAGATGGAAACTAATCAAGGAGAGAAGCAACCTAGAACTAAGGAGAAATTTCCTGACAGAACAATTAACCAGTGGAACAACCTGCCTCCAGAAGCTGTGAATACTCCAACACTGGAAGTTTTTAAGAAGAGACTGGACAGTTATTTGTCTGAAATGGTATAGGGTTTCCTGTCTGTGCAGGGGGTTGGACTAGAAGAGCTCCAAGGTCTCTTCCAATATTATTATTATTATTATTATTATTATTATTATTATTATTATTATTATTATTATTATTATTATTATTATTATTATTATTATTATTATTATTATTATTATTATTATTATTTATTGTTATTGTTATTGTTGTTGTTGTTGTTGTTGTTGTAGAAAAGAGAGGTTACCCATATTTTCTCATCTTTCTCCTTCCCGGTGTGATTTGTGCTCTTTAAGAGCCCCACAACCCAAGCCAGGCTTTGAGAGCAGACAGAAGATTCTGCATTCCACAGACGGGAGCAGAAGTCGTCCAATGAATTTTATCCATAGAGGTAGATCTCAACTTACAACCACTCCTTTAGCAACCCTTTGAAATTACAACACATTAAAAAAAAGTGATTTACAACCAGTCCCCACACTTACAACAGTCACAGCATCCCCATAGCCACATGATTAAAATCTGGACACTTGGCCACTGGCATGTATGTACAATGACTGCAGAGTCCTGGGTACATATGATCATCATGTGTGACCTACCCAGCCGACTTCTGACAAGCAAAGTCAAAGGGAGAAGCTGGATTCACTGATCAATGGTGTGATTAACGACCGCAGTAATTTGCTTAACAACCGTGGCATAAAAGGTCATAAAATTGGGCATAGCTCACTTAACAACTATCTTGCTAGGCAATGGAAATTCTGATCCCAATTGGGATCACAGGTTGAGGACTACCTGCATGTACCTACTTAATTTTTAATTTAATTTCACAGAGTTATTTGTAATTGAATTGCATTCATCAAAAGGTACACTATCTAAAAACTCACATAATATTGTTTAAAAGAAGGCAGATATAACATCAGGCTGCTATACCTGTATAAATAATATGTCCACAACCACAGACTTTTCTTTTACTTAAATCTGTAAGGTTCAGTGTTTTATTAAAATAGCATATTCAACCACTGGTAGCCAATAATACATTAACTTTCGCCCAGAGTATGCACCATACAGTAGTGATTTAAAATAGCATTTATCAGTGGAAATTGTTCAGATTCAAGTGTGCAACTAGAACTAAATGTTGGGTGGGGGGGGAATGGATTTAAAGAATACATAAAACTCTTGTACGGATATTTTCTAAATGCCAGTGTTTGTCATCTGACAATACTGCTACCTTTTTTCCTTTATGCATAGTATCTCTCATTTAAAGTACCCATTTTATAAATAAATTGGCAATTCTGCCCTTATCTTATGCGCAGCTTCACAAAGAAACCAGTAAATAAAACTGTCAAGGACAGTTATAACAAATGATCTCACAGCAAGATATAAAACCTGAAGATACTAAAAAAGGATGCATCTATTTTACATAAAAAGACAGATTTAAAAAGTGCAAGGCAAGAACTGCAGTTTTCTTGTTGAGGCACATCCACTTCTTTAAAGCAAGCTTCAGAGTGAAATTCCAGTTTTTTTTCTTCATGATACCTGTTCTGAAGTCTTTTCCAAAAAACATATGACATCTTCTCAAATTCAAGGTAAAAAATGTCATTCTAACTGAATTTTTAGTTATGTCTGCTTCTTCCTTTTTTTATCCTAGCAGGTTTTGGTTTAGGAATATATTGGTTATTTGCTTGATATTCCAGTTCTTTCCGAAAATAATGAATTGCTTTATTTAAACCTTCTTCCAATGGAACCTGTTCCGGAGAGCAAAGAGAAAGAGAAAGATTATCCATGCTTACAGAATATGTGGTATTTATATGTAGTACTAAAACCCTGCTTCCCAGAACTATGCTCCTCAATTCATGGAAAAATTCATGGAAGTTTGCTTATTTTCCAATTTGATGAAATTGGAGGTAGCAAAAAATTAGACATTTACAAGGGAGAAATAGAGATTTACATATTTTGTTTCAATACTTTTGTTAAAATGACTGTTTTTTGGAGTTTCGCCTGAGTTTAATTAACTTGTTTTATATAAGGATCAAGAGACAATTTTTTTAAATGCTTCTTTCTCCTATTCGCAAAAGGAAGCACACAACAGAATACATTTCAACAATTTGCCTTAAATGGTATGAAATAAATATTACATTTTGAAACTACAATACCATTGATGAACAATACGTACCACAGGTTCCCAACCAAGCAATAGTTTGGCTTTCTTGATATCTGGCTTCCTTTTTTGAGGATCATCTTGAGCTTCTGACAGA